AAAGTATTTTGTCTAGTGTCAATTATATCGTCAGTTATATCGTTATCGCAAATTTTCAAATGTATATCGTGATAAATATTTTTGGTCATATCGCCCTGCTCTACTTGAGACCGAATCATATCTTGTCTGTGCCTCTTCCATCCATAGTGATGATGAGAGACAGATTCTTCACCATATTTTGGAACATCCACCTCAGTGATCCTGAGGTGGATTTTAAAAAAATGACGCAAAGAAGGGAACACCAGGCCATGACAAGCTTTTTAGAGTCAGACCTCTAAATGATGAGACCCTCAGTGCCTGCCAGGCTCATTACCAAAAAGGAGGGAGTTGTCAATAGATGAAAGGATGGTGGCAACCAACGCAAAAACTGGGATGACACAATATATGAAAGACAAACCAACTAAATGGGGGATGAAAATGTTTATATTGGCTGAATCAAAAAGTGGCTACACCATCAGCTTTACCATATACACTGGCAAGAACCAAACTGCAAGTGAGCATGGGCTGGCCTATGACATGGTGATGAACCTCATTCTGCTTTTTTGTCTTGGCACTGGATACCATGTTTACATAGACAATTTTTATACCAGTCCCAGACTGTTCCTGGACCTGACCAGCATGAGGTTTGGTGCATGTGGTACCTACAACAGAAAAGGATGTCCCAAAGACAGGGCAAATGCTCTGAACAGAAAATGTCAGAGGATCTGAGATGGATCAAGGCCCACTTGTTTTTGTGAAGTGGATGGACACACGGGAGGTGTCCGTGTGCTCCACCATCCATCCCTGCATTTTCAGGGGAGACGGTGAAGAGAAAGGTGAAGGATGGACACTTAGCTATCGGAGAAATCCCCTGTCCCACACCAATCATGGCATATAATAAAAATATGGGCGGGGTTGACCTGTCTGACCAGCTCACTCAGTATTATTTCACTCACAGAAAAACTGCCTGCTGGCACAGGACCATGTTGCTGCATTTTGTGGACATTGCGACAACAAAGGCATTCACCTTGCATCATGAGATATGCAGTGCCAACCAGGTTCAGCCCATAGCGCACAAAGCTTCTATAGTGTGCGTCAGCTTTGTGGGATGGACAAGACAGGTGCTCCCCACAGCAGGAGAGCTGAACACATTCCTGCTCAAACTGTCACCGACATAGATGCTGCCCAAAAAGCCACTAAAGGCAGACTCAAATATAAGCGCTGTCTCCAGGAGGACAACAGGTGGAGTGACGCACCCTGAAAGTGTCAAGCCTGTGGTGTGCCCGTCTTGTGGTGAAGAGTTGTTTGAAAAATTCTACATAGGTTTTTTAAAATGTACTATTTATATTAAACATGATTTGTTAAACATGTTTGTGGTTTTTACCATAAAAAAGAGGCAAATCAGTGCCTTTAGCCTCCCAGCTGGCAGCACTCACATTGTAGGAGCGGTGGTGCCTCTGCTTCCACTGCACCAGGACTATCTGAGCCACCACCAGCGTGGCGATGAGGATCAGCACCATCTCTGCGTGCATGGCCTCATGTCCTCTGTGCTTCATGTGCAGGTGCTCGTGTTGCACCCTGTAAAGTTGAAGAAGAGGAGGATTAAGAAAGGAGTGAAGCATGTGCCGGAGAGTCAGGACTAAACATGAATTTGTGGGGGGCAAAAGCTGCATTTATTTTCATATTTGTTAAAAAAAAAA